AGAATCGCTTGAGCCCAGGAGTTGGAGGTTGCTGTGAGCTGTAATGCCACGGCACTCTACCCAGGGGGACAGCTTGAGGCTCTGTCTCAAAAAAAAAAACACAGGTTCCTAGCCCCTCACAATCCTCTGAAAGTTTATTTTCTCTTTGAGACGGGGTATTAGTTGTGCAGGCTGAGGTATGGTGGTATGATCATACTTCACTGCAAACTTGAGCTCCTGGGCTCAAGTGATCCTCCTGCCTCAGTCCCCTGAGTAACTGGGACTATAGGCATCTGCCAGCACACCTAACTAATTAAAAAAAATAAGTAAACTTTTTTTGTAGAGTCAGAGTCTTCCTATATTTCCTAGACTGGTCTTGAACTCCTAGGCTCAAGCAATCTTTCTATCTTGGCCTCCCAAAGTGCTAGGATTACAAGTATGATGAACCACTGCACACAGCCGCCTCTGAGAGTTTGTATTCAGTAGTTCATGGGTGAAGCCTGAAAAATTGTTTGTGTTTTTGGTTTTTTGGAGACAGAATCTCACTCTGTCACTTGGGTAGAGTGTTATGGTACACTATCACCAGACCGCAAACTCTTGTGCTCAAGTGATCCTCTTGCCTCAGTCAAGGAATAGCTGGGACTACAGGTACCTGCCATGACACCTGGCTATTTTTTCTACTGTTTGTAGAGACGGGGTCTTGCCTTTGTTCAGGCTGGTCTCAAACTCCTGACCTCAAGTGATGTTTCGGTTTTTTTTTTCTTCCTTTCTTTTTAAGAGACAGGGTCTTGATATGTTACCCAGGTTAGAGTGCGGTGGCTATTTACAGGTGCAATCGTATCACATTATAGACTTGGACTCCTGTGTTTAATGACCCTCTTGCCTCAGACACCCTAGAAGCTGGAAATACAGGCATTGCTGTCATGCTGGCTCAGCATAGTGCTTTTGAGATGCTTTTTGGTGTTTTGCTTGTTTCAGTGTCACAGTTATTTTTTGCTGAGTAGTCTATTGCATGCCCCAGAGATCCCTCCTGGTCTGGGAAGTGGTTCTTAAATTTGAGTGTGCATCTGAATCCCCTGGAGAACAGATTGCTGAGCTCTACTTCAGAGTTTGATGCAGTAGATCTGGAGTGGGGTAAGAGAATCTGAGAATTTCTTTTCTTTTCTTTTCTTTTTTTTTAGACAGAGCCTCAAGCGGTCGCCCTGGGCAGAGTACTGTGGCATCATAGCTCACAGCAACCTCAAACTCTTGGGCTTAAGCGATTCTCTTGCCTCAGCCCCCCAACCAGCTGGGACCCACCACAA